TATATAATATATAATATATATATATATATAGGCAGAGGTAAATAGACCCGTAATACCTATACAAGCCAAGTGAAAAAAAAGAAAGAAAAAAAAGAAAGAAGAAAGGAGGAGACCTGCAGACGAAGAGAAAGAAATTCCGAGAGCGCGCGAGACGAGCCCCAAGCAAGACAGAGCGGCGGCCCCAAAGGCTGCATGACTGCCTGACCTCCTTCAAGCCACAAAGCCATGCACGCTCCGCAGCTGTGAGACCAATTTGATTATGGCGTCATAACACAAGCGCCACGCAGCCGACACGCCCGTAGTGTTGCATATTTCAGCGTGAGTGCTAACTCTCTCAGGACCGCCCGCACAAAGGCAAGGAGGAAGGCGAATAACAAGGGAGGAAGAGGGATGCATGTGAAGAAAGGGAAGAAGAATGAGAGATGGAGGAGGGTGAGGGGAGGAAAATGAATCGGGAAGAAAGGGAGAATGAAGGAAGGAAAAGATAGCGAGAGGAATTGGGAGAGGAAGAGAAAGATACAAAGATCAATCGATAGATAGATTTAATGAAAGTGAGAGAGGGAGAGAAAGATGGATAGATAGATAGATTGAGAAAGAAAGATAAATAAAGAGATAGATTGATAAACAGACTGAGAGAGAAAGATAAATAGAGATAGATAGATAAACATACATATATAGGTAGAATGGGAAACAATAAGAATAAGAGAGACAAAAAGGGAGAGCAAGAGAGAGAGATCCTCAGGGAAAGAGAGATACAGAGACAGAGATAGATAGAGAAGAGAGAGAGGAGAGAGAGAGAGAGACAGAGAGATAAGATAGAGAGATAGAAAGAGGAAGAAGAGAGAGAGAGAGAGAGAGAGAGAGAGAGAGAGAGAGAGAGAAGAGAGAGAGAGAGAGAGAGAGAGAGAGAGAAGAGAGAGAGAGAAAGAGAGAGAGAGAGAGAGAGAGAGAAGAGAGAGAGAGAGAGAGAGAGAGAGAGAGAGAGAGAGAGAGAGAGAGAGAGAGAGAGAGAGAAGAGAGAGAGAGAGAGGAGAGAGAGAGAGAGAGAGAGGAGGGGGGGAGAGGGAGAGAGAGAGTAAGAGAGAGACAGAGACAGAGAGAGTAAGAAAAATACAGGAACTAGAAAAATGCCCAGAAAATAATTTTCGAAAAGTTTCTCTCGCCCTAATCCATATTCACTCGTATCAATCTTGCTCCACCTCTCCCACCTTCGCTCTCGCTCTTTCTCTCCATCTATCTCCCAATCAGCCATGTACCATCTGTCTCTCACTACTACTACCCTCCCCCTCCCCCCTCCTAACCCTCCCTCCCCAAGCGTTCACGGGCAACCATATGGATTTGTTGGTAAAATAGGAGAAAAGTAAGACAGATTGAGATAGATAGAATAAATATAACATCCACAGCTCCGTATTTGTAGCCAGCAACGAATATAAACCCGAAGCTATACACATGGCTTCTTTTTTTCTCTTTTTTTCTTTTCTTTTTTATATGACACCTTTGTAGATCTGTTTGTATGTATTTCCTTATGCTTAAGGCATATATTTACACGCGTGGATGAGACTTATTCATCGTTTTGAATGGATGCTGAGTGTCAGGAGAGATCTCTCTCTCACTCTGACCCACAGGGAGATCCCCCCCCCTCCCGGACCCCCGACCCCCAACCCCCATTCCACCTCAGGCACCGTCTTCCGTCCTCCCCACCCCCAACCCCCCTCCTCGCCACCCCACAACCTCCACCCGACCCCCACACGCCCCCACTATAACATCAGACCCCCTTCATAGTCTATTCCAAGCCCAACCTTGACTTTAGACCCCTCTTACCTCCAATACTACACCGCACACATCTTCTGTCTTACCCCCACAGGCCCTCTGGTCCTACTCCAACACTGCTTACCCTTCACTTCACGTTACTCCAACTCCCACTCCCATCCTCCCACATTCAGCTCACAATCTCCCCCCCCCACCCCAAGCCACCATGCCACCTACCATTTTACCCTAACTTACCCCCCCCCTCACCCCCCACCCCAAGCCACCATGCCACCTACCATTTTACCCTAACTACCCCCCACCCTCCCACTACCCAATCCTTTCTCACAACATTATTTAAGCCACCCACCATTCACCCCCCCTCCCCCCGCCCGGTCCCAACACCGCCCATCAATCCTCCACGCACACCACGCCCCTCTACGTGCGCCCCCACCACTAAAGCCCCCTCCTCCCCATCTCCGCCCACCTTGCCTATCTTTCTTCCTTTATCAAAGACATAATGATGATAATAATGATACTGAGAGTGAGAGTAACGGTAGTAATAAAACGGATGATAAGGATACTGCTGGTGATAATAAAAATATTGGAAAACAGTAGTAATGATGATATTGGTAATGATAATGATAATAATGATAATAACAACAACAAAAACAACGACAATGATAATAACAACAAAAACAGCAACAACGATAATAACATCAACAAAAACAACAACAATGATAATAACAACAAC